CTGCAGACCTCCTTGCACAAGTCGCTGTGGCAGCGCTTCCGCATGGCTCACGCAGAAATGAATGAATGGCTGGGCGCTGCCTCTTGATTTATACTTCTGGAGCTCGTTGGTCTGCCCCTTTCCATCGGCCCATGGTGCACACAGTCCCTCATGGTACTTGCTGGACCGGACTGGGACTGACTGGACTGCACCGCTGACTACATGGGGACGCACTGCTATCCTACCGCTACCGTACTGCGAACGTACCGCAGTTGGTCCACCACTTGCCCACTTGCTCGACCTTTTAGAAGGACTACAGCTAAGACTTCTGGAACTCACTAAGACTTCTATTCGACAGACCTACAGATCGAACCCTGGCTACCTATGGACCCTACGACAGCCTATCAACTGTTACAATTACACAGGTCGTGGGTTCAACTCTACGGGTCGACACAGGTACTGTACACAGGTAAGGTGTGGACTAGGGATCGAGCCCTGGGATCTGCGTCTGCTACTGCAAAAAAGTGAAAACCGTTTCAAATTATTCTATTGTTATTTTATAATTGCGATTTGTTAGTTCGTTATTATTTTAATTTTTAACCAAATCAGTGAACTCACAGCTGTTCATATCGTGGTGTATTGCAGAATCCAAAAGAATCATGTGTAAACTATTCGTCCTATTCTTCTTTGAACTCCTTTTCAATTCATGTCAGTTTTTCAGTTTTGATTGCCTGCCACTCATCAAGTTGCAATTTTGCACTTTGTCCGTCTCCTTTTCGAAATTTGAATTGGCGTGTTCCTCCCCAACCCTGCTTCCTTCCAGAAATATGAGAATTCAGACAAGTACCTTGACGATGAGGATGCGGACGATCCTGTTAGGTTGCGCTCGCTGCAGAGCAACAAGGAGTGGCGACAGGCACGAAAAGAGGCAAAGAAGCAACGGAAGGGGACATAATTTGTGAGACGCCAGGTTGTGTGTCACTAATGGAATCTCTATTGAATTTTTATCAAGTTCGCGGTGTCGTGCACGAAAAGAGGCAAAGAAGCAACGGAAGGCCACATAATTTGTGAGACGCCAGGCCGCATGTCACTAATCGAATCTCTATTAAATGCTAATAGAGTTCGCAGTGCCATTCACTTTGTAAGTTTGTATGCAATGGAGCCAAGGGGTCAATGGGGGTGCACTGCATCCGAGCATGATCAAGACTGAGGGAGTGGGGGTGTGCCAGGGGTAATTGACGAAAGGGGGGTGGGTGGGGTCTCATGATGGGGAGGACCCAGTTATTATATTACATGAATCGAATCTCTATTACATTTTTAATTGAGTTCATGGTGCCATTGCAATGCCTTTCATCTCCAATGCTTTACAGTTTCATCTCCTTTCGTTCCATAATGAAGCTACCAGAGGGTCTATGAAGATGTGTGGAAGGCTTTTGTGTTTCTTGAAGAAGAAGAAAAATGTGGGAAGAAGAGATGCATGGCAATGCAAGAAGAAGTCTGTCTGCTCTCTCCTGGTTACTTACTTGATTGGATCTATTAAGTGAAGTTTGAATGTTAACTGCTCTCTGTTTGTAAATCCTGCAAGCTTGCTCCTACATCATTTCTTCACAAAAGCGAGAGCACATATAGCATTTAGTTTTCCACCACGACAATGCATGCTTGCTAATTGCTCTGTTTATATGCAATTGTGATCAGGTCTGATGACATCAGAATACAACGGTTCTGATCAGATAAGATCAGATAAGATCAGATAAGATCAGATAAGATCAGATAAGATGAGAGATCCGGTCACATCAGAGATCGGATCAAAGCTTGTCAGCAGATGCGACGGGATTAGATGACATCTGCTCCATGTCAGTGCCATTGAGAAACTCTAGCAATGCCATGAAAATGAAAATGAGAATGAAAATGAAAATGAAAATGAAAATGAACATGAACATGAACATGAACATGAACATGAACATAAAAATGGAAATGGAAATGGAAATGGAAATGAAAATGAGAATGGAAATGAAAATGAGAATGAGAATGAGAATGAGAATGAAAATGAAAATGAAAGTGAAAATGAACTTGAAAGTGGAAGGGAAAATGGAATGAAGTTTTGCTGAAAAGGAACGGAATTCGATGAATACCTCAGGGTATCAGTTGTGGGGCAGTTCTCCATGCTTAACGGCAACAGGGGTTCAACCACCACTACCTTTCTCACTGTGGCAGCTTTTGAAGAAAGTAGGAATTTGTAGGATACTTTGGGATATTCCCCGCCTCGGCGCAGGGCCCAGTGCAAGCTCTATGAGGTTCCACTGTGATCTTCATAGAGCTTGCAGTGGGATATTCCCCGCTTTGCACACACATATATAACAAACATCCACATGCAACCACAATGAAAATTTTCCACTGTGATCTTCATACAGCTTGCAGTGGGCGATCTTCACACTGTTGTCTTCTTTATCCGTGTGCTTGTGCCAGTGTACTTGGAAAAATGCTTGGCTTCTTCATGTCTCCGGGCGGCTGAAGGACAGTAGGAGAGGGTCATTTGACATTTGTGTTTCTCTCGTAACTTTTTTTCTCGTCAGTGGACATTCCACTTTCACTTTGGCATTTGTGGGGAAGCCGTGATTGTTATTATTTATTTATTTATTTATTTATTTTAACACCCACCAAGTCTGCTAGGAGTGATGATAAGAACATACACTCGTGTGTGCACTGTGTGGTAGTGCTTGGGATGATAAGAGAGACATTGCAATTGGAGAGACTGTTATGGTTGATGTTTCAAAGCTGCAGTAGATGTTACCATCTTCCCCCAAATAGCGTGGTTATGGCTGATGTTTCAGAGCAGTAGATGCTACCATCTTCCGCCGAATACACCACCTTCATTGTGACTGGAATGGGTCGAAAAGATATGTAGGTATACATTCATTATGAGAGTGCGTTGAGTTTGGGGGAAGAAGGTAGTTGTCATTCCATTATCTCCTGTATCTGGGCAACATCAGGCATGTTGTATGTGCAGTTTCTTGTATCGTCCTTCTCGTAGCGTCCAGAATGCATGCACACCCATAGCTATTCCATTGAACATATGCCTCAGCGCTCATTAGCATCTTCAAAAACAGAGGATGATCTCGCGCCATGGCTTCCTCGTTCATGCACTTTTTCAGCCTTGGAGTCATTAGCTTCCCGCTGCTAGCAGTTTCACGACCATCTGCTAATTGCTGGAAACAGTGGAAAGTAAACTGGCAGAAATTACACATGTTAAGGTTAGTCAACATCTTCTTCTTCCTTTGAGTCGTATCTTGTGCTTGTGCTGAGCGACTATTGTTTCAGGGATCATCACGGTGACCTGGGAAATTGGGAATTGCTATTACAATCACTGTGGCGCACAAGGCCACTCTTATTCTTGATCGGAAGCCAGGCCTCTGAGGCAAAGCTGAATAAGTGCCACTGTGACACTGAACAGTGAAGTCGCCCATCAACTCGCCAATCCAGATCATCGAGCTACGTTAGACTCACGGTCCCCGATCTGTCAGTCCATCCCTCCCTCTCGCTCGATCTCTCTCACACACACGTCAGAGCAGCGGAGTGGAAGGTTCTCTCTCCCGACAAGAAGGCATGATACATTTCCACATGCTGAACTGGGGGCGTATTCCACCATCCGTCTGTCCATCCCTTCCTCACAGCTGCATTGGATGTTCTCTGTGCAAGGCAATCAAAACACCGGGACAATACTCACGGTAGAACTCTTTGAACTGCTGTTGTTTGCCACAAATCGCTGTCAGATACGTCCAAGAATGTCCCAAGTGGGAATATGCCCCAACTTTCCTGAGACACTGTGGGACGCAGTTATAACCTGAGACCGTTCTGTCACGGAACTGCATACATCAGGGGAATGCTGTCCTTGTAGACGGGACTTTACAGGACATTGCTGCAACCGTGGAGCACTTCTTCTAAGTTCTAGCTGAATCTAACAATACCTGAAAACAGTGAAAAGTATGAGTGGCACATAATACATGTAGTCATCTCCAGCCCTATAGTTACTCTAACAGATTAAACTGAGACAGACTAGCGTAACTCTGTGAAGAACCCGAAATAGTAAAGTACGCATAAGCACGATTAGTCATAATATTTGCACATTCTCTGAACACGACGACACATACAATACCTGCACATTCTGTGAACACGTACATGTCGAAGGGGCAGACAAGTTTTTCAATCTTCAAGGAAAACAGTTTAAACAACCCAAACGAAAACCAGAAAAAGGATTAGACCTTGGACAAATGGCTAGTAAGGGACCTAAGGACCATGTTGTACTAGGCTGCAGTGTGCTTGCACTCTGCTGGCACGGACCTGGACCAAGTCAGGTTTGTGTCTGACATGGTAGCAGTCTATGCGCTATACCGGGCATGGACCTGCCAGTGGACCAAGTAAGGTTTGTGTTCAACCTCATCCTGTTCTATGCGCTAAACCAGGCATAGACCTGAACCAAGTAAGGTTAACTTTGTGTCTGACCCGGTCCTGGTCCATGTGCTATACCAGGCATGGAGCTGGACCAAGTGAACTTTGTGTCTGAGCTGGTCCTACCGAATCCGTGGGCTATACCAGGGACAGACTCATTCTGCAACAGGTTTCAGCCTACAGTGACATCGACTCAATTAACCCTCCCTCGCTATGTCAGGCTTATGCCTGCCTGGTTCAGCGTGTAGACAAGGCACACGGTCAATCAAGAGCAGCTTTAGTCCAGTGGTGCCTGCCCAGTAAGCGTTCTCGTGCATACGTGATGATGAACAAATGCTTTGACGGCAAATTGACGCCCAATTGTTGAGTGATTTCCAGGACAGGAGCTTCCTCGTCATCACAATGGGGCAGCCAGAAAAGGATTCCCTCCCTCCCCCGCCATAGGCTTGGGAGTGCCAAATCCAGCCAAGTGTGCGCTGTYGCACACTCAATGTGGAGCGCAACTTGTCGATCAAATCCAAAATCAGAAGCATGTCTGGTAGTTGAGTGAAGTCAGCAAAGAAGGGGCAACATGTAGAAGCCTGAAATGTAGCCCTCGAGGAGACCAACAATGTTTTTCATCAGTCAGAGTTTGTCCAGTGCCGACCGCTCAGCATACAACTGCATTCGTTCCACAAGCCCAAGGAACACACAACAGTGTTCAAGTACACAGTCAGAATTGCACGTTTTTTTCCTTTTCCATTTTCTTTTCTTACCAGGAAACAGACTTACTTTTTCGTTTTTCAACTTTTTCTGAAGTTTCCTCTGACAAAAACAGAGGTACCTCCTTTTTGGTTCTTGGCATGGTTGCCAACCGTCCGGATCCCGATCCGAGCAGTCCGGTGTCCGGTGTCCGGTGTCCGGTGTCCGGTGTCCGGTTTCCGGGTCTGGGGTCGGTTTGGAGGGGCTGGTTGGACCCTCATTTCAAAAAATTCGAAAAACAAAATTGGGGTCCCCAGGCCATTTTCCTGGGCCTGGGGTACCCCAGAAAATTGTTGCTGTAGTTTTTTGTCGACCTTCACCCGAACCGGACCGGCCCTGAACGGCCCGCTGTTGGAGAACTTCGGAGGGCAGTAGCAGCCGCAGTATCCTGGTATTGGTTTTCCGCTGGCGGGAGGACCCCATTTTCGAACGAAGCGCCTCGTGCAGCAGCACTCCCTCCTGGTGTAGCAGTGCTCTTCTCGAAGTTTCTGCCCGCTGCAGCCACGCCATCGCCAGCTCGAGCTCGTCCAGCGCCCAGGAGTTTGCCGCCTGACGAGGAGGTTGCCGTCTTGCCGGTTCAAGATTCGAAGTTCCGAACTTTGAAGTTCGGAACTTCAAAGTTCTTGGGGGCTGGAGCGGGTGTGGAACTGATGCTTGGGGGCTGGAGCGGGTGTGGAACTGATGCTTGGGGGCTGGAGCGGGTGTAGAACTGATGCTTGGGGGC